CATAATGAATATTCGTCAGAAGTCGATCGACCCCAGTCGACCTCTTCTTGTTTAGCCGCTATACTAATTTGAAGCAAAGGAATTTTTCACTGTGTGTTATCAAATGTAGGTGACATGCTTTATTTTATTTTTACCGATTTTACAGCGTGTATGATGCCTCCTAAGAGGCAGTATTCAAAATGAACAAGTTCCACACCGGAAAAACCACCCCAAAAGGTAAAAAGAGTTGTTGGAGGTCAGAAAGACGCCAAGTCAAGGAAAGTTTTGTTCTTAGAGCCATCTGCTCAAAATGAATCAGATGATGTGTCGGTGAGTATGTAGCCTGAAACAGCGGCTGTTTCAGGCTAGGTGAGTATGTGCATTGAAATATATTAGAAAATTAGATAATTTCAATCTGCAGTGAGTGCTCTCATATTTTGTTTTTATATTCATAATGTTTTTTTTTGTTCTTCAGACAAAGATGTCAAATAGATCGCCATGGCCAGAGTCAGAACTAGCTGCTATGGTCCAATATATTGCACTGTACCATGACATTCAGGCAGCAGAGTGGCCAACACATAAAAACGCAGTGTTCTGGGAGAGATGTGCTGAAGCTGTTGCAGAGACATCTGGGTTACCTAAAAGAGCTGGTAAATACGGTTTTAAATAAATAGCAAGGTGGCCATAATGCTGGTTCCAATTCCACTGTATATCATTGACAGACTCACATACAATAGGGTGGTTGGAAGATGAGTTCTCTCCCTAATTTCAAAATGTGTATTAATGATAGCTGATTAATTAACTAAGTTTCTAAATTGCTGCAAAACATGGATGGATGATGGATCCAGCCAGATCTACGACATACTACAGTATTTCGTGAAACTGATTTAGTTATTTGCCATGTTGAATCATGAAGCCATCTTGCTGAAGAATGAAAGTAGTGATTATACACTGGTGACTGGTTAATTTGGATAACTTTAAGACTCCCCGGACTGCCATGCCCCGCAACTGCCACCTACGACTTTATCAACACAGCCACCTCCCTGTACCTAGAATAATTCTGAAGGCCCTGGTCTAACAGGGAAAGTGCCCACCTATCCTTGGTCATGGGATGTTGACTATAAGTGT